TAACTTATGCTGCTGACATAAAGAATTGATGCTCGGAAAATAACTTCCGTCACAAACGAGACTAGCTTCCGCGTAATAAGAACAGTCCAGCGTTTTTGCTGACGTAAAAAATACACTTCCGCCTTGGAGGTAAAATTAAAACGACATCTTGGCATGATTGCTTTAAAAAAATCACATCGTTTTTCTTTGCATTTTCTTACAGTTTTAGTCTTCGTTTAAGATTATTAAAATTAGAAACAGTATTATCATCAAATAACTGAACTGGAATTTATATTTCGGCTCGGGTACCATTAAACCACATGACAAATTAGGCGTTCGCCAGTCAAGAGCCCTTCAGTCGCTAAAATGGGGAACGAAAAACCACTCCAGGATAAATACACATTACCATAAATCAGCCAAACGTTCTTCAGACCTTCTTACCCTTGTCCATTTCTGCTTTCCTCTCAAAGACCTGTCTCTCTTTTTCCTCGACACTACAAATATACCTACCAATCGTTCACCCTCGCATCCACTTCAATACAATAAAAAACAACCAGTCACAAAAAGAACCTAAATTCTAGAGATGTGCGACGATCCGAAAATATCGGGTCGAGTCGGGTGGGGTTGGACTCGGGCCGATTATTGGATACTCGAAATTTTTGGGCTTTCGAAAATTTGTGCTTTCGATCGGATCCGACGCGATTCGACCCGAGTATCGGGTACCCGAAATTTCCAACTTCTCGCTCACTAAATCCCCATCAATTCACGTTCACGTGCCAACGACATAGAAATTTATAATTGACATATAGAATATCAAAGTGACTAAAACTTTCAATTACACGCTAAATCACTGATCACTTTGTTAAGTATAATGGCATCGCGTCACGGAACTGCTGCACCTGCTAATAAAATCATTTCACACAATACGACAGTTCTACTTCAGACACGATCATACACTCGAATCATTAGTAAGCAGAAAATCATAAGGGAATAGGTTAATCGTCCTTACGAAACCACTGTAGCTTTTAGACGTTTCCGTTCACCAGGGAATTGCTGTTGCGACTTGTCGTTATCGAAGCTGAATACGGAATTACCAGACAGTACAATCGTAATCCGGTTGGCATAACACGCAAAGGAAATTGGAACGACACAGATTAACGATAAACGCTTTAAAACAGCTTTCGATTTTGGAGAAAGCTTCTCTCTGTGTCTGTACCATAAATTGTTTCCTTTAAAGAGCAACCTTTGGTAAAATGGTATCGAGTGGCTTTGGGTTAATTAGTTAGGTTCATTAAAATCTGATCGATTCGTTAGTGCAACGTTCTTTGAAAATGCCTCGTTTATACTTTAATCTGTTTAATTGGTTTGAAAAACCGGTTGTTATCGTCACAAATTGTATCATACGCCTTTGAAATAATTAAAATCAGAGAGGGATTCTTTTCCAATATTTTTTTTCAATTTTCTCCTTTCAGGATTAATTGATTCGCGGAAAAACTCTTATTATAAAATAATCTGGTGTTGAGTAATAAATAACAAGCTTGATGATTTAATACAGAGCTTCACAAATAAATCTTCCATACTTTACATATTTTATTCCTGTAAAATCGTCAAAATGAGCGTGCATCCGCTTTGTAAGGGTTAAAAACGTGTTCCTGTTTATTATATTACAAAGGTTATACTTTTGTTATTATAAAACTTGCTTGCCAGTCGATGAGTAAGGAACGAAATACTCGGGATCGATATCAATCCCGAGGGACAGCAAAGCATAATTTCGTGCTCCATGGAATCCAAAGGAACGTTAACAGCCAGTTGATTAAAGGCGCTAAGGTAGAAGTTGCCGGTTAATCCGTCATGATTAAACGAAATCCCCGAGAGAAATCGACGTCTCTTTCTGTCGTGGATACTTGGTCTGTCGACTGGTCTAGTAACTTCTCATTCCGAGGACACGAAGATATTATTGATCTTTCTTTTTACCTGATAATTCTTACAAGGAGACGATCTCAATTTGTCGATTTTGATCTTAACATCAGATTCCCTCATTTCATTAATAATATTATTAAATATAATTATTTATAGCACGGTAATTGTTAAGCTGAAGCTATTAATCATTTCATTTTCCATTTTAGCATCATTTCAAATACCGAATACGAGTATTATTAATTAGGTAATTAGAAAATCTAATGATATAGGGGTGGATTTCTATAAAAATTAAAACGTCAACCAAGGGATTGACCTAATACGAGTATTTTTAATTAGGTAATTAAAATCTAATAATATAGGGGTGGATTTCTATAAAAATTCAAATGCCACCCAAGGGGTTGAAATTACAGAGCAACTGTAACTAATATTTTCTATTCTTTTATCGAACATCTGTACACCTAGAAATTTGCAAAATCGGATTAGAATCGAAACCGTGCAATTGGGGTGGTTACGTTGTTAGCGTTCGCAGACGGTTGTTTTCCTATAAAAGGGGGTAAGCGTGAAACGGGGAAACTGCGCGTAGCTTTCGTGGGATAAGCTCCCACGAGTACCTTATTTTTAGCTCGAAACAGAATCGATTTATCCCTTCTGATGGTATGCTGGCTAGCAGCGTGCCGCTGCGGCATCTGAAACAGCTGCTGCACAGGGAGAAATGGAAAATAGAGGGTAGAGATAAGCGGTGAGAGGCAGAGAAACGAGAGCCGTATGAAAAAGGATCGCGAGGAGAAAAGAAACGAGATGAACGTAGACAAGAACGAATGAAATGAGGTGTTTTATGAGGATGACGTGAAAATCTCCGTTCATGAAGATAGAATTTTATTGAAAATCTCGTCTGAGGAGCCTCTAGAGCATTACGGTTTTAGTTCAACGAGGGTAGAATTGGGTTTAGCTAATCGCAGGATTTTCTATTAAAATTACTGTCTGATCAGATCAGTAAAAAATAATGTATATTTTAATGTCACATTTTATTAGAACATTCGATAAATAATATTTTTCTACGTGAAAATATGGTACATTAATATTATTACATTAGGTTCTTACAAAGTCTGTCGTAAATTCATGACAGAAAAGTATCTAAAAATACCACTTATGATACATCAAATTGAAGCTTAGAACCTACTTAAAAAGACTGCATAAAGGTTTCAGCAATATCTTTAATATACAATGGCTGGTCTTTAATTATATCGACCAATACGGTTCTATTACAAAGCATAAAACTCTGACGCGAATTCATAACAGAAAATTATCTTAAAATACAACTTATGATACGTCAAACTGAAGCTAAAAATATGCTTAAAAAGACTATGTAGAAATTTCAGTAACACCTTTAATATAAAACGGCTAGTCTTCAATTGTAGCATCCAATACGGTTCTATTACAAAGCATAAAAGTCTGACGCGAATTCATGACAGAAAATTATTTTAAAATACCACTTATGGTACACGAAATTGAAGCTTAAAGTTCGTTCGAAATGAATACATTTCAAAGCCCAAGTGTCGAAATGAGCAGACGGAATGCGAACTTTCTGAAAGTTGTTCCGAGAAGTTTCGGAACGTTCGGCTGCATTTTCGGATATTATATCGGGTTCCAAATTGGAACAGCAACAGGCGGACAAAAGCTACGCGATTACCTCAATATACGTTGACAATAAATACCGGTGACCCTGTTTCGCGACCATATAATAGACGCGAATCGGATTAACGACCGCAGAATCGAAACGCATCATGCAATTCATAGCCCATATGCATCCGGTATCGCGGTGTTAAATGGCAACGTGTCTAAAGATAAAGGACGAATGGAAATTGAAATCGTGCGCAGATAAATATGGCGATATTGATAACGAACGAAGACAGTAAATCCTTGATACAATACCGTTCGATTTCAATAAACAATGAAGTTTTATGTTCAATCGTCACAACAGCTGGTTGCGCTTTAAATTTCTACAAGAATTAATATTCTTGTAAGGTCAATAAATGAACATCATATTTTTTAAGAATTTTCTTTTCATTGTAATTCAAATGTTTTGACATCGAGAAAAATTAAAATAATATGAAATGGGAAATTAAATTAAAATTGGGTCTCTCTCCAGGGTCCGCCGTCCGAGGATTAAAAAGATTTCGTTTATAATAGCAACATTCAACCGAGAAACTTGGTGCATGAACGACTAGGTAACTGTATGTAGGAAAAAATGACCTGCACAGAATGTTCTTTCATTTTTCCTGTTTATATATAGAAGTTTACGAAGCGTAAGGTCAAAGGTAGATCGCGAAACCATCGATTGCATCGTTTCAATCTGTCAGGTGTATCGGGCACAACAGATTTCTCAGCTATATCTGATAATCATTCTAGAAGAATAAACTTGTGTTGAAAGTTCTTTAATACGGAGCATTCAAAATATTATCGGGAAACGAAAAGTATTGAGTTAGACAGTATTCAATTTTTAAACGTACAAAGTCTGATACGATTTTATGACAGAAAAGTGTTACAAAATGGAACTTATGGCACATCGATTTAAAGCTTAAAGTTTAATGAACATAATCACATCAATATTGCTTTGGTATTTTTATTACAAAAGGATTGGTTCTTTATTGAAACAAATAAGTCCATTATTAAATATCAAATATTTCAATGGAGAATCAGCCATTTTGTATTGATCATATTTATGAAACATTTATACAGAAATTTTTATTAAATTTTAAGCTTTAAATTGATATGCCATAAGTGCCATTTTGTTATACTTTTCTGTCATGAATTTGCTTCAGACTCTTACTTGACTTTCAACCACCCTGTTGTAATCAACTACCAACAATTTTATATTAAATCAACAAAATTTTTCATAATTATTTGCTATTAAAATTAGCCATTTTTTAGAACATATAAATAAATTTTTTGGTCATCAATAAACTACGGATCAGTGATCTTGCTTCCGTTCGAAAATTGAAATGGAATATGAAATCCTGAACAAAGAAAAGTTGTTGGTAGAATTTTATAAAAAGCAGAACAATTCAATTGGCTAATCGAAGTTCCACGTTCCGTTTCAGTGCTGTTTCGCAATATCCTACAGAAGGGAAAATCAACGGCAGTACGAGCTGAAAGCAGCCACCGAGTCCGACTGCAAAACGTGGATCGATGCTATACGCGATGCCAGGTAACTATTCGCTGTATAAATCATAGTTCAGAATTGATACAACCGTCGCGGAATGGTTTCGTGTTTGGAGAGGCTGAATGAGAAGCGAACGGTCGGCAACAATGGCAAAAATTAATTACACGAAGCGCCTGTAATGCAAGGTAAAGCCTTATTAAGTCTTTATCGGTGGTGTTGCATAAACCGCAGGAAATTATTTCCCTCCGAGGGAAGAAATATCCTGACATTGTCGGTTATGATTTTAATTTGCAACCACCTCGTTTCCTTCTAAAAAATCCGCGAAGATTTACGGTTCTTTTCAAAGTTTAAAATGGCACTTTTAGGTGACTTCTTAATTACACCAATTTTAATTTATCGTCCCTTTAAAATTCTTTTAACTCCCATTTTTTTTTTTCTAACAGTGAATAATTATTGCACTATTTATAAAACAAAATGTGCCATTGCAGAGATTGGAAACTGTGATATATGTAACATCTTAGGGGATGGTATTTCTTGTACGTTGAAAAATGGGGAAGATATTTTCTGAATTATTTGTACACCCACCTCGTACGTTATATAGAGGATAAATTTCCTTTTTGTTCGCGTTAGTGCCTTAATGGTTTTGCCTGTCTGACAAACGTGATCGCCCTGGCAAATGCCTGCAGGTGTGTCAAACGATCCCAGCTGCCTCTTCGTGCGTCACCAGTATCGCACCTTGTTCATCAAGTGTTTGGTTTTCCTTTTATCCGTCGTGCTTTCGACACTCTCGTATTATCAAAAGAAAAATAATATTTAAAATACCATTTAATCTATGTTTGAAATATTTCTTTTTAATTTTGCCCATTTCTGAACACAAGAAACAGATATTTATTAAAATGTCATATCAGAGTGATATCGCACTGTGTTTCTGATTTAATTAAATGGCAAATACGAGGGTATATCGGTCTCAGCTGAAACTTGCTTACTGATTACAGTTTCAACAAATTGCTGTTGCAAAAGGAGGAGCTCGAGCAGAAGCACTTGCACCTGTTGCAGATCGTCGAGAGCGAGAAGACAGCTAAGTGGCAGTACACACAGCAATGCGAGGAGCTTGCGTCGGAAATAAAGAAGCTCCGGGCGGAAGTGAGTTCAAAATCGCTGGGCACATTGTTGACCTAATAAAATTGCGATGGAACTTCAATTATTCCAGCTAATGGAATTTGAAATTTTTTTATTACCTCTCTTGAATCGAACCTATACATAAATTGCTTTCGCTGCAATTGAAAATTAATTTTCAATTTATAGAAAACAATTATTTTAATGTTTCTGTCAGCTGTGCACTTTGAAGAAGGAACTTAGACCCGTAGCATCGCCGTACGCGACAAGACCAGGAGTTCAAAGGACCATGTCTCATGGAACCGGAAGCTTACATATCTTGGGCCCGTCGTTGGGTAACGACGATCATGGCACAGGAATTTCCGGATTCGGACTACGAGACATCACGGAAGGATCCATCGAGATGCAGAAGATCAAAAAGGTTCAAAGCTTCTTCAGGGGCTGGCTGTGTCGTAGACGTTGGAAACAGATCGTGGAGCAGTATATCAAAAGCCCTCATGCAGAAAGTATGCGCAAACGGAACAGGTAAGGTAGAATGTTACTTTTCATTTTTATTTAAAAATTCAGTTATCAAAAGTACTATACAGAAGAACGCCTGAAGCGTTGTAGAAACCGTAATATTATTACATCCCTTTATTTTCCTATGGAAATATCGCGACACGGTTGAAAGGAATGTTGACTTTGTTAAATATGCACATACCGTTGCTGTTAACATTTTGTATTTTCTACGTGCATTTGGATTATAAAGCATCGAGCATGGTTGGCTTCTCCAAAGAAAATAGAGTTGCCTTTCGCCCTGTAGGATTCTTTGGGTTCTTGGATTCCTGAGTTCCCGAGTTCCTGGATATCTGGGTTTCTAGATTCCTGGGTTTCTGGCCCCCCACCGTAGTCCTCCCCTTTCTTGTGCTTTCACTCCCTCTCGTGGGCGTTCCCGAGAAAAATGACGGTGGAGGGGAGAAATGGGAGGAGCGTTGGTAAGCCTACTTTGCTCGATACTGTACATTTTGAAGTTACAAAGTGCAGTTATTATGAAAAATGATTAATTATTCTTCGTCGAAATGAATATAAAATCCACCGGGTTTCTGGGAAACATATGATAAATTTAAAATATCAAAGAGAAATATGAAATTTTCATTGCCTTGTGATTTACAGAAAGCCCAACTATTATTATTATTCTTTGTATTGCTTTTGATTCATTAATATATTGAAAGTGCAATGTTGAAATAACAACGGTATCATGTTTAATGGAACTTTGCAACAATTTTCTCGGAATATATTCAGCAAAAATTTACTTCAAGTATCTGTGTGCTTCGTTTTATATTCCCTGGAAGATAATTATGTTAAATTATAATTATTTCATAATTATTCTGCTTGGAATCATAAGTTGCGTTTCAAAACGTATAAAAGAGATAAAAATATTTTTAAACGTACAATGTAGAATGATACGTGCTTATTTAAAATGTTTCATTTGAATTTTTAATTCTAAATAAATTAAAAAGAAATCATAAGATTAAGGGTTAATTGACGATTCGATTTTTTTGAGCAGCTAGAGAAAAATACCTGTTGCTCATTATCACCTTTCTATAACAGTAAATCAAAATCAAAGACGAACACACTTTGATATGTTTCCTTGTCGGACATATTGGAAATGATGATTCTGGCGAGCGGAAATTCATTAGCTGTGAATGAGAGATCGATTCGCTAATTACACTGTCTTCGGTGGGAAGATCCGTTAATTATCTCGGCTAGCTAATTAAAGCCAAAGCGAAATTAATATGCTCGTCGTCGGGGATTAAATTGCCATGTTAAAAGACGCGGACATGTTTTATAATTAAAATCGTTCTATTCTATTCGTACTCATCCTATTCACTGGTATTTAATACAAAAATCGCTTTATACGAGACAACGTATAGTGCTTCGCAGCACGGATATAAAATATCTCATGAAATGGAAAAAATTTCTGGAAATCAAAAGGTGGAAAATGCAGACTCGAAGCCCTTTCCATTTTTCAATAATTGGTCAATTTATTTTCTTTGCGTAGTAAAAGAAAGCTCACTTTATCGAAGAGAACCTTATGTCGAATATTAATTTTTTATTACATCTACGTAGATACATCAAAGTTTGAATAAAGAGCTGAGTGGATTTAATTAAAGTTTTATGAAAGTCGTAGCTTTTGATTTTAAATCAAAATGTTTCAAAATGATTCTTTTGGGAACTTTGAAAGCTCTTTTATTGGGGATCTATCATTTATAAAATAAAAAACAAAAAATGTAGAATTCTGTATTTGATAAAAAAAAGAAATTTTCTTCAAATTTTAGCTTGGTATTTCAAATGGTGGAAGCTGAAGAGGAGTATACAGAACAGATGGAAATTTTAGTGAGCTGTTTCTTGAGGCCTTTCAAGATGGCTGCCAGTTCAAAGAAACCCCCTTGTAGTCACGAGGACGTGAATAGTATATTCTTAAATAGCGAAACAGTGTTGTTCCTCCATCAAATCTTTCTGAAAGGTCTCACTTCGCGTATGGAAAGCTGGCCCACTTTAGTCTTAGGTACGTTTTTAATTATTATTTCAGATATTTTAGGAAACTCTTTAATTGAAGATGGAGAAAAATTTCAGATGATTTTACACTTATGGATTTTCTTTCTATAGGTGATTTATTCGACATGTTATTACCAATGTTGTCAATTTATCAAGAGTACGTGAGGAATCATCATTACAGTCTTCAGGTGTTAACTGAATGCAAGCAATCATCACCCTCGTTTGCTGCATTGCTTACTAGGTTGGAGAACAAGAATGCTTGTGGGGGACGTTCTCTGGAGACTTTTCTAACATATCCTATGCATCAGGTATACTAATTACTAGCTTTACTACTATCAGGTGTCGCTCAAAGTTCTCTTGCTTTAACCACTAACGCGGTCTAACTAAGGGTCAGTTGACTTCCTATTAAGAAACCAAAAACCTTTTCTTTTTAATATAATATTTTAGAAAATATCAGAAAACGTTGTTAGGAATAAATAAAAGTGAAGAAAATTAGATTTAATATCATCATGATACTAATGATAAGGGTTTTCATCCCTCTATTGGATAATTGTGATTACACCATTGGTTTCAAAACCTTTTGAATTATTTAAATATTTAATGTGATGTATGTCTATTTTTCAGATTCCAAGGTATATTATAACATTGCACGAACTTTTGGCGCATACTCCATACGATCACGTAGAACGGAAAAGCTTGCAAAATGCAAGGCAACAGCTGGAGGATTTATCCAGACAAATGCACGATGAGGTATTCAATAAAAATATTATTATTTAATATTTTTCAGTAAATTATTGGTAAAATTTAAATTTTAGAACATGGGTTGATAATTAAATTTTCGATCTCCAAATAATAATAATCTTTTATCATTTATATAGTAATTTTGTAATTCCTCTGCTATACAATTCAAGGAATTTTAATAATATATTTTTACTCTTGTTTTAGGTCAGCGAGACGGAAAATTTAAGAAAGAATTTGGCCGTGGAGCGAATGATTGTCGAGGGTTGCGACATTTTACTGGACGTTAATCAAGTATTCGTTCGACAGGGTGAGCAATCTTATTCTTTTTTTGATGTATTTAATGCAATCGTGTTTCTTACACGATTAACGAAATGTGTCGATAATGTTCTGACCTAGTTAGTGAATAATCGCGAAAGTTTCAACAAATGGGTAAAGGAAACAAAGTTTCCAACAAACGTGGGATACTGCAGTTTATATGCAAGTGCAATGAGTGCAATAATATTACTTCTCTGCAATGCCAGTTACAAATATTTTCATTAATATATAATAGTTTATTAAATAATATAAAATTGCAATTTCAGTCAGGTATAATTCAAATTTTGAATATTTTGCAGAATGGTGCAACTGCATCATTGATGGTGCAACGATGCAACTGCATTTTATATTTTTGTCATTTTTTTTTTTAAATGAATATTTATTGTACCCTAGAGACTGCAGAATTTTATTTACACAAAACAATAGCCATTTCCATTTTAAAAAATGCTGCAATTTAAAGTGCATATAAAATCCATCGTTGCACTTCTGACAGAAATATAAATATTGCAGTTCTGTTTGCATTGTCTACCATTTTCTTTTAACATTTTTTTTTAAATTTCAATTATGGAAAAGGTATTTCAATTGCGTAGGAATTTACTTTTTCATTTCCTCCGAAACGTCGGTAACGAACCATCATTCATTTCATCCCCTTGCTTTTACCCTGTATCGGGAAAATCGATGGGTAATTCACCACCACAGTCGGTAAACTTGCGTTCGTGGGTGGATAGACGAATTTACTCTTCAAGGTTCGGCACGGAAGTTCGTGAAAAGCGGAAATTTCGTAGGCCACAGGCGCAAGCGCACCCCTAAGCTCCTCAGAATCGATGGTGTGATATGTTCGCGTGTACATAATCTACGCCGAATTCATTCGATCATGCGCACAAATAATAATCAGGGCTGTCATTGGAGCTTAAAAAATTCCTTATAAATATTTCCATCATTTTCACGACCATTTCCCTTATTAACCATTAAAAAGCAACTTATATAAAAGAATCCAAACAGATAGAAAGATTCTAAAACCAACTGTTGCTCTCCAAGATCCATTCAAGAATTTTTAAATTCCAATAAAATATTAATATCAATTACAATTTATATTATAACCATAGATTATAGAACAAATTAAACAAATTTTACATAAATTTTTATTTAATAATAAGACTCTTTTATTATAATCTATTTTGAAAGGTGCTGATTCAAAGTAAACAGAAATACAAAAGGAAGGAAAGACTAAAGATTCTTATTTTTATAAATAATTTGAATCAAGAAGATTTATAAAATTTTTGTTATTCAAATAAATAAAGTTGCTATGGAAGGGAGAGACATAGGCTGTAGACAGCCCTGACTCCTCGTGTTTGATCTCGTATCACATGGTCACCACGCAAACGTCCTTTCATCTTTATAGTGCGCAGGAAAAGCCCCACCCGCCAAGTATTTTCTTGTTTTCTTGACGAAATAATTGTGACACCGTGCGTTCATACGAATTTCAAGAGATATGGTGTGAGCATTTTCGAACTCCCATGCCCTGTGGCGGAAGTTGACGTGTCGCGACATGGGGTTAACGGGGCAAAGAACGAAACACAAACACAAGTTTCATTCCGACTATTCGGCGGGGTTTGAAGATGAGATTGTGTGTATTTTAATTTAAGACTGAGTCTGGCGAGACATTGATAGTACGGGGACCAAGAAAGTATACAAAATTGCACTGTTTGGGAACAAAGGACATTCAGGTAGCTGACAGCCACATTTTCCTTTCACGTTACCGTGAATAGAGTGTACGTAAACATTGGAAATGTGTTGATTAATATCTCAGGGGATGTATCCTGTATTGAATCAATGGGTATCGTAATTTTAGATTGATGGGAGATGAATATTTTGGAAAGTTTTATCGAAACTTATCAGTTTTCAAATTGGTGAATGGAAATAAATAAAGGAACGTCAACGTGAAAAGTTAAGTTTCTTTTTTAGGTTGTGAAAAATACTGTAATTTATAATCGCCAGTTTTCAAATGTTCGAGATAAAAATTCACAAATACAACTCATTTTCCTCGAAATAAATAAGAAATCTTATTTAAAATCTTCCTCCCTAATTTCATATTTCATTTAAAACAAATTCACTGTCATTGAAGTCAAAAGATGATCAACTAAATTTGCAACGACCATATGTTATTATCAAAATTTTTTTTATACTAATATTTATGGTTTTTCTTTACAGGTACTCTTATTCAGATCATAGATAAACCAAAGGGAGCTCGAAGTAGATTGAGCGCAACGTTCGGTGGCAAAGGAGGAGGCGATAAGGAAGCAGCTAGGCAGTGCTTTCTTTTCTCGAATCATTTATTGTTAACGACACGTCAATCAGACGATGATGGTCGTTTGAATCTGGTCCCACAAATAGGGAAAATACCTTTGTCCGATGCGGTGTTAGTGGAGGATCCCAACGATCAGAGCACTGCGGATGATGACGGTATTACAACAATATTATTATTTAAATAATGCTTTTTGCAGCTTTGTAGAATTATTTTATTGCTAGCAATGCTTCATCACATTCGTTGTAATGATCGACACTGGAAATTTAATTTGTCCAAGTAATTATAATAAGGGATGAAAAAATAGGGTGCTTCTAAATAGAAGTATGAAATAAAAATTAAGCCATTTTGGAAAAAAATTAATTTATTATTACAAATTTAAAAAGAGATAATATATAATATTTTTCGGTTAATATTTTCCGCTTGTAGCTTTATAAATAATTTCTTTAGTTTATTTGCAACCCTTCGACGCTTCAGGATTGCACCAGCTCATCGCGCATTTGGTTGCTCTGCCTTGCGACAAAAGAGTGTTCAATAATTTATATATAATAAACATAGTATTGCCATGACTGGGAACTGATTTTAGAACTGTCAGTATGTTCGATGTCCAGCGGTATCAGCGAGAGCAGCGGAAGTGGTAGCGGAAGTACCAGCACTCAGCTACAGAATCGCGATTTTAAAATTATTCTTGATCTGAAATCGGGTGGACCTCAAGTGACGGTGCACCTTGTAGCTCCTACAATTCAGGTATCCATATTTCTGTAGATTTAAAAATTATTTTTTTAATTTCAATTATAGATTATTAAAGAAAAATTATTTTTAACAAAGAAGACAATCAGGAAGAATTTTATGTATAAAAATAAATAAGTGTTATTTTATTGTTTGGTCCTTAATGGGTTAATTATTTAAACAATGAAATGTTATTTAAATTAAAAATTTTAATTAATACAGGAAAAGGCCGCCTGGATCAGCGATATCAGCCAGTGCATGGACAACGTACACTTCAACGATTTACTTCGTGGCTCGTTGTCGGACACCAGTTCCGTCACGATGCCTCAATCAATTAGAAACGACCCGAAGCTGTTCAAAGACGACGTGGATATCAGATTTAGCAGGACTTTGAATTCCTGCAAAGTTCCGCAGATTCGTTCAGCCACGCCTGAACGTCTACTTCAACGTCTCACGGATCTGCGGTTTCTTAGCATCGATTTTCTTAACACATTTTTGTTAACTTATCGAGTGTTCACCGATGGTGTGACAGTATTGGAAGCCCTGAAGAAGGTGTTTTACGAAGCTGAACCACCTGATTCTGAAATTCCCACTGGTTCTCTTGTGTAAGTGGAAATATTTCAAAAGTTTCGTATCAAACACTGTTACATTATTATAAGTGAAATTTATTTTATTAATGAATGCAACAAAATGCAACAGTGAAATTTGCTTAATAAATGCAGCAAAATGCAATTGCACTTTTAGATCCTTGGATGTGTTGGGTGGAAATACGACGGAAGGACAATTGCATGTGGATGACCGAAGAAGAAGTAGTATCTCACCTCGAAGAACCAGCGGAGCTAGTTCCGTTTCCGGTAAAATTTATTTCAGCACTGTCAAAATTTAGCAGAAACAAAAGAGCATATTGAGAAATGAATTTTCTTCTTTGAAACAAATAAAACAAAGAACCTTCCTTTATATTTATAGGGTACGGATCTGAAATTAGCGACAGTCGTGAAGCAAGAAGTCACGCTTCCTGTGATTCCAGCGGATATACACTCAATTCGAAAGGATTTTGGCGAAGTGGGTATCAAAAAGGTAAATTCCTTCTATTTGCAATATTCAATATTTTTCATTTTTGACTCAATAAAATTTTATTGCGGTAATTATGCATCCAAGGATATTTAAGAAAATTTAAGAAACATGTCTATAGATAAAAATGATTGTAATTAATAATTAATTTTAGTGGACGAGGAGCAGCCATTAGGGATGCTCACAGAACCTCCTCCAATTATAAAACGTAGTCCTACGATACAGTCGTCCACTGCATCCATTGGTTCCCAGTCATCATCAACACCACACAAAATCAGTATTCGCGTGGATAAAGAAAAGAAAGAAGAAGACGATGGATGCCACTTAACCATACCAAAACTAATTGCTGGTTCCTCCAGTTCTGAGACCCTTACAGGTAACATGATTGCAAGAACCTTTGTATATTTTTATAGAAACCATATACCTATTTATGTTTTGGGATGTTCATTATATAATTTCAGATAATACTCTGATAAGTGCACCATCTTCTCCAAGCAATCTGAGTTCTGTGACTTTAGTTGAGTCAACAGGATCAGGATCAGGTTCAGGATCGGATCGAAGCCCTCAGGAAGGAGGTACTTTTTCACGTGGTGTATCTGAGGATACTGATACACCTGTAGCATCGGAACCTCCAAATGATGGTAAGTTTATAATTTTCTAGGATTCAGATTAATTAGATTTGGATATGAATTATTAATAATTTCTAGTATTCTGTAATGCTATGCTTATCAACCATTCTTCTTAGGATTTTCTTTACCCCTATGTACGAATTCGAGAAATAATTTTTGTTTTTATTATTACTAATCTTGAAGTATATATTAATTTATATTTTCAGTCGCGGATTTCAGCTGCGACGATTCCGAACCTGAAACTCTAAAATTGTCAAAAGAAGACCGAACACCCCCACCTGATACACCTCCACCTTCACGAGAGAAGCCTGCTGAAATAAATGAGAAAGAAACAAGTAAAAAAGAAAAAGAAAAGTACTATACAATGGAGAGTGATAGCACTAGCTCGACTGTACAGATTCAATCTTCTCAACAAATTCAACAGAAACAATTCCATCATTATGAGCACAGAGCATCGATTGCATCTGCACCTGGTGCTACTGCAAGAAGCAGTTCGATTTCTACCATAACTGGAGTATGTTAATTGAGTATTTGTTTATATTAAAATTCAATTTGCATGAAATTTTAAGTAATATAATGCAAGGGAGCCTATATTCATTTATAACAATTCGTTTTTTTTATATTTGAGAAATAATCTATTCACAGCTTTTTGCGTTGAATAATTAAAATTGAATGTAATTTCTATTTTGCACGTATTATATTATTATTTTCAGGAATATTTTTATGTAATGAATAACACAAATATTTATTTCTTTATTTCTTGCTTTAGGTTTTAATATATGTCTTCAGCAGTGGCCACAAGCTCTTTATTTTATTTTAACCCTTAATCGAACAGATGAAGTACCTAAACTCTACTTAAAATTCTTAAATACAGAAGAATTTATTTTGCAATGTTTTCAAATAAAGAATCACACAAGTTTTCAAATAATAATATCAATATTAGAGATTTGCAGGGTCTTAGTTCGAGGAAGGGTTAAAATGGATAACACTCACGAAGGGGTACTTAAGAAAACACCTGTTCAACATTTCAAACAGCAAGGTTTCCTCGGGGTTTATATTCAAATGTTCTGTATTAATTGACTTTTACAGAATTATTGGGCAAGCAGACGATCGATTCAAGAAACCGAAATGTCTTCTCAACAAGGCAATTTCCAGCACGATCAAGCGTCCAGTAAAGCTGGAGTAGTGATAACCAGTTTCCGGCAAAGTCATCGAAGGTTCGTTCCAGTATTCCTGACGTGTTTAAGTGTTTACATCCATACATTGTTGTACACATTATTAAAAAGTGCGCATGTCAATCGATCTGAGGTTTTTTATTTCCTGACGATTATACATGATTACCATACGAAAAGTATAATTGAAAAAGAAAGAAAAAAGAGAAATTTAGGATCACTTGGTGTATTCATTAAAAGGGAAACGGTAGCATGCAATTGTCGAGGAAAATGTATCAAAATGGTAGAATAATTATTACGTTAAAAAAATGACGGATCGTTGCTTCTGTTGAACATATGGCCTTGAATATATTAATTAAGGAACTGAGCTGTACATGCGTTTATATTGTTCAAAGATGAAGAGAAAAGAAATTATCTCTATTTCGTTTCACGGTATCGCTATTGAATGTTGATTGTAATAAAGGTATTTTTCACTTTCTTACGCATGAGTGCTTTGTCTCGGTATCTTACGTGTTTTCTTCCGCCTATAATAAATCTTCCTTTTCTTTCGTAGACAAAGGTATTCGTATCTTTCTGTCCTTATTTATCAAGTATCATCTATCATTTATGATATAATTGCATAATTTTATAATTTCACTCCACATATCACATTTAGTTTTCTCTCGTTTCGATTCAATATAGTTAAATCCTTCTTTAGAAATTTTTTAAAATAACATTTGAAGATCTTTTTAATTATATCGATGAAGAAATACAATTATATCTGTTTGAAAAAGAAATTGATTACAAATGAATTTTATTTTATATTTGTTGTTATGTTAATGAAGAGTCTTTCGTTCGGTAATACAGTTCGCAAGTAACATTTCTTTTTTCTAAATGAAAATGCTTATATTATACACTACTTCATTGGCGTAATTAGGTAGGAGTCTGGCCTCCCCAAAACTTAGGACTCACCCCTTTATCACTTAAATATTTTAACATTACAAAATCTCTGGATTTCATGATTCAAGGATTCTAGATTTTCAAAATCTCGGAATTCCAAAATTTTTCATTACCAAAACTTCAAAATCCCAGTTTCAAGATTGCAAAATTCCACAGTGTCAATAATTTCAAAACTCCAGAATTCTAAAGTTTCAAAATTTTTAAGGTACCTGGTTCACCCTAAAATCCTAATTACGCCAATGCTGTTCATTTGCTATTTCGAATACAATATTCCTTTAGAGAATCGTGAGGTTAATTCCTTAATCCTGGATAATATTTTAGTTATTTTAATGCAATTGTATTTCATATGTCGTTTTGTGTCACTTATAGCGTTCGACCTGAAGCTATCTGGTAAGTATCATCATTTCTGCTTCTGGGAAAGTGCAACTTATCACTTTGCGTGGCACATGACGGGCTATGTTTCACCAAATCACATATACATTCCTTTGTTCATTTACTGTTTGCACTGGATTAGTGTATACTGTTAAATTTGTATTCTGGTCTCACTGAAAATCACCTGTGCTGCATAAACCTGTTCATTTAATTGGTGTTTTGTACTGATTCATTTCAGACAACTCGTTTGAGTACAATAACGTAGAGACTTCTTAAATTTTATTGTGTAATATATGTATAATTAATGTAATACAAAAGATTTCATATTTAGTGTTCTCAAACGAGGATGATGAGCTGAAATGACTTACGTTGCACGATTGATATGAAAATTTTTAAGTTATAAAATTTTTTATAACGTTAGACGATGATTTTATAAATTAGAAGAAAAATGAAAACCAATAATAAAAGGAAAGGTAATATTATTAAAAATGGTTAAAAGCAAATTGTACATAATAATTTTAATAACTTTAAGTAGAAGGATAATAATAATAAAATGAAGGAGATTACATTTTACATGTCCGATGCATGAATGTCCCCTTTTAAATTAATTAAAAGAATCTTCTTATCTTTCCAAATCATTGTTACGTAGATGCAAACAGAACCTTCAAAAGGTATTTTTATAATTTCTTCATATCCTATTTTTTCTATCTATTGAAGTATTTTAACAATTCTTTTGAAATAATAATTGTCTTTGTAATATTTCTCATTAACAATATAAATCTGCATTGGCTCCTTGTAACATACATATACAGTACTTCTTTAAATGCTTTATATAAACTAATTTTTCTTTCTTATTAATTGCATTGCATCATGGGCGAACTAAACGAAATAGAAATAGTTTTAATATATTAGAAGCTTCTTTTGACTTGACGTTCGCGTTAGAATTTGCCACTTATTGTTAGATTTAGTGCAATAAATAAATATATCCCTTGCATCGTCAATATTTCTGTTAGTTGATTAGATGCTGAAATGCACTTTAGTGTACGTTCAAATTTAGATGAAAAAAATCATTCGCAATAGGCTGATTAAAAATCAAAATAGCCCTCTTCAAAGGTGAAATATTTTTTCCATTTTTAAAAATAATATCGAAGGGCTGCATCCCTTAGAGCAGAGGTTGGCAAACTTTGTTTTTGTAAAAGGCCAGGTATTAGATATTTTTAGACTTTACAGGGTCCGAGGTAAAATTTAAATTGTTATGTAGGTACTCATTAATAATGAAATAGAAAGTGTTTCTACTAATTCTTATCAATTCAAATTTGAATGTCTTGTCATTTTACAAATTAAAAAATCTCACAGGATACAGCGTATTTCGAATGATTAGTAGAGATAGAATCAAGTAGAAGTTATTCTTTTCTATGTACAACGTAGTTTGTAGATAGAAGAGTAATAATTTTATTAAGCAATTGCAATTTAATTATCCACCATTGTTTGATGTATTGATTGTTAGAAATTGCAGAAAAAGAAACAAACAATTTAATAACAATTTATATATTTCCAGAATTTTTAAATAATCATAGTTATGTAAGATATGATAACTTGAATTTAATTAATTATGCTAAAATAATGAAACACATTACAAATAGTATTAGGTCACTCCACACGAAATGGTTAAGTTCTGACCTAATTTCATTACATAAAAGTAATGCAAAATAGCACTTATGGTATATCATTTTAAAGTTTAAAGTTTATAAAAAAAGGCTGTGTAAATGCTTTTTCAATATTCTTATTACAAAATGGCTGATTCTCTGTTAAAGCAATTTATAGCTCACGAGTAGTATTTTTCAGTAGTATAGGTCAACGAAAAGTCAGCCAATTCATATAAAAGTTGATAAAACGTTTATACAAATATTTTTATCAACTTTCAGGCTTCAAAATGATTTTCTGTAAGTGCTATTTTAAGGTAATTTCGTGTCCCTCTTTCTATGTTCCAAAATTAGTCATTTAATATGCATTAGTCCTTTAGTCGTTTAATAATTCTCAAGCATTATTGTTAATTCTCTATCGTTCTGGAACTGCTAAACCTAATCCACGTAAAGAGAATTTATTCTCTTTAAAAAGATAGATAATCGTAGCTTGACCAGAGAAAAGGTTCTCGACTATGATTAAATTATTGTCACTCTAAATTCAGTTTAATTAATTACCAAGGAGCTGTTTAAAATATTCAAATTTACTGTTCCAATTCCACGTATAATTCAACCACAGCTCGATACGTCTATTAAATTATCGCAGTTTATTAACATTATATGTCGGTCGCTCTGTTTTAACTATCCTATTGTTATAATAGAATTATTACACGTTGAAGTATGATACTCGAATTTCTAACAAAGTTACATGCTTCGAAATTGGATACGTTTGAAATAGTACATAAATACGAAAATTTGTTTGGTGGATATCCTTTAAAATTAATTAGTTAATAAAAAGGGAAGAAAACTAAAATTTTATAATTTTTAATTTTTCAAAGTTAACTTAAATTTTTTCTTTAGATAGCATAATGTCAGTCGAAATATCCTTGTATACATTTCATACGTTTGGGTCACAATTGACCCTTTGTTAACATATTAAACAGGTCTCAAATCTTTCAATTCCTTAGGATTTCTAGCATTAATAATAATTTAATTAAAAAACGTAAGAAAAATCTGAATGATTGTCACATACTCAAATATTATCACCTAAAAAATGAATAATCTTGAAAGTAACAAATATTTTCTTCTAAATGATAGGAGCAGCACATCGACGGCTGCAACTGCATTTGCAATTGCAACGTCTGCGTCAAGCAACCCTCCAGACAAAGGGATAGATGGAAACAATCGGTGCGGTTCTTGTCGTGACAAAAACAGACGAAAGGAATCAGTCATGTCAACTGCAGCCACTATGCGGGTGTTAAATGTTTTGAGGCATTGGGTCTCGAAACATGCTCAAGATTTCGAGTCTGATCAAAAATTGAAGAATCTGACGATAGAATTTTTGGAGGATATCATTTACTGCCCTAATTTGTTACCAGCTGAACACAAAGCTGCGAGCCAACTTCTTAGGTTGATCACCAAGGAAGAACCAGAAAGCAACAAAGTGGATCTTAAGAGACTGTTAACTCCTCCAACTGTATGTATATAAAAAATATAAGAAATTTTATTTAATTTTTTTCTAATTAATATGAATTAGAAAAGCAGACAATATCTATTTATTTCAAGTTTTCAAGGCTAGATAGATGTAAAAATTTATTTTAAAAATATTTCTTATAATAATAAGATTATTAACAAATTTATATAGTATTAGATATTATTTATGAAATTTTGAAATAATAATCATCTGATATGATTTCAGGTGCAAACTAAGGAAAGTATTGAAACATTGTCTGCGTTAGAAATCGCCGAACAAATGACATATTTGGATCATAAGATTTTCGTGTCCATTTCCAGCGAGTGAGTAAAGTAGAATTCGTTTTTTCTCAAACATATATTTTTTCCTACACCATTTTTCACAGATACAATAACCGATTTTTTTTAGAATAGATACTGACTTTTTATTTTTTATGTTTCAGGGAATTCCTTGGCCAAGCATGGATGAAAACGGACAAGGCTGTCCGCGCACCCCATATACTTCTGATGACAAAAAGATTCAACGAAGTCTCGCAGTTGGTGGTTTCGGAAATTATTCGCCGTTCCAATATGTCTGCAAGAGTTGCAGCGATTGAGAAATGGACAGCAGTCGCAGATATCAGTAGAGTTTTGCACAACTATAACGGGGTACTTCAAATATGTGCAGCTTTCACGAACAGCAGTGTCTTTAGATTGAAAAAGACGTGGGAGAAAGTTTCTAAAACGGTGAATTTTCAATAAATAATTCGTTCTTTTCAACAGCTTTTAAATCGAACACTTGGAAAATACCTTCAAGTATCTCAATAAATATAGAAAATAATAAAATTATGTATATAATAATAAAATGATAAAATGTAATTATTTTACAGACGAAGCAGACAATCGAAAGACTTCAGACGATCGTGTCGTCGGATGGACGTTTCCGAAATTTAAGAGATGCCTTGCATCGATGCGACCCTCCTTGCATCCCTTATTTAGGACTATATCTAACCGATCTTTCTTTTATAGAAGAGGGTACACCAACCATGACTGAGGACGGCCTTTTGAATTTTTCAAAAATGCGAATGGTATGTCATTTTTAGAGAAACACCAGCCCCCGAAAATTTCGGGTACCCGATACTTGGAATTATTTCAATCAGCTTGAAATTCCTGAAATTTGGAGAACTGTTTTGGGAAGAATTTTAAATAAATGATCTTTTATTTCAGATCGCTCACGTGATTCGCGAAATACGGCATTTCCAACAAACGCCGTACAAGATCGAATTGATAACAAAGGTAACGAACTACTTGCTGGACCCATCGTTGCTTCTGAACGAGAAAGATTTGTATCGGATGTCCTTGGAGATCGAGCCGAGAACATCCAGGCTAAGTAGTTCGGCATTGATTAATTTGCCACCCTCTGCAAGCCACGCGTCAACAAAGTGAATCTAAGTGTCAAGTTACTTCAAATAATTATCTTATTCTTCAGCTAGATTTTAGAATTAAATGAAAAGATCCATATTGATTGTTAAACATCTCGTCGTTGAGAGAAACGAGTAACCTTTAGAACCAGGCCTGGTCAACTGGACCCAGTACTTTGACCTTCTGATCCAGCTGGAAGACAGGATAATTAAAGAATGGTAAAAAGACTATCTCTAATTTTTTTTTCTATTCTCTAATTAGAGATGGGCATATTTATTTCGATTTATTTAATCCTTTCACTATTATTAGTGCAAAGGGGTGACATTTCAAAAAAGAAAGCTTGCAATGGAAATTTTCATATAACAATTTAAAATAGAAATTTTTATTTTGTTATACGAATAATGCCCAACTCTGCTACTGATAGTTATTGCCCTTTCAGACATAGTTAAGCTGCCCCAAGGGTGATCGAGTTGTCCAGGTCTGTTTTAGAGGTCTAAAATGCGATTTAATCTTTCTACGAATAGTAGTATATGAAAAAAAAAAAAGATCGTCTCGTTTACCTGGTACCGTGAAAGATACGCCAACATACGGTAGTCATAGTAAGAAGAGTTCAAATTTTTAACCTCAATGTTGATTCTTTACGGATTTTACAAAACATGATCCTCGTTCTTTGATCGCAAGTATCGATTGATGTTTCACTGAAAATTGTAAATCCACAGCCGGATCTGAGACGAGGGTGTATCCTATATTTCCTCGAGGTTATTCGAAAGTAGACGTCCCATGTTTTCTCCCTTGCGAATAGTAATGAAACGAGATCGTTTTGTGCCGGACTGGAGCCGATGCATTTTTAAAACCCCGTCCATTTCTGTCCACTCCCGCTCGTCGTACGCAGTAACGTCCGTCTTTCTGTATCTCAAACTCGTGAATTTCAATGTACATTTACGTCGAATCCACGGGACACGTAGTTGAGTTTCTTTGAAAAGAAAAGAAAATACCTGAAATTGACATATAAGAGATGTGTTTCTTTAAGTACGGTCTATTTTGAAATAAGAAAAAATTAGGACAGCTTGATATTTCCACATTTCTTTAAAATTTAGAATTTTCTCATTTAGCAATTATACATATTAATTTTTAATTTTTTATGTTTTCTTACAACCAGAGTATTAATATACACAAATTAATCAGATATTTCAAAATGGATTTTGCTTAGAAAATATACAGGGTGTATCATAATATTTTAAATTATTATTTTAAATGAATTTGAAATAATGATAAATCTTTAATAACGACGATTAATTATTTTACACAAATGAATCAACAATTAAAAAATTAAGGCATCAAATTAGATCGTACAGTATATAGCATAGTAGGCTTCTCTAGGGAAAATGACGTTACAGGAGAAGCAAGAATTTTCAAAATCTTAATTTTGACGATATTAATATTAAAAATGATTTAGAAACAAAATAATACTATTTTCAATTATTAAATACTATAAAATTTATGTGTCTTAAATCGACTACTAAAATTATGTACACATATTTTGGTACAGCCTGTATATTATAATGTTATTAGAAATCTTTTCAATTGGAATCGAGATTATTTCTATAGGAACGCGGGATCGTGATACAATATTGAATTGTCCTATATTCCGATGGATTTGCACGTGATACATTCTTGTTTATTTTGTTATATTACAGTTATTGCAGTTATCAAAATGTATACATCGTCCAGAGACGACGTTAAACCGATGGACGCTGTCAATAACACTGTAAAAAAAATACGATCTATTTAAAGGGGGTGGAGATTATGGAAGGAAAAAAAGAACCTGAGAGATTTTCGAGTATGGATTTTTATTTAGCATAGCTCAATCGAGCAGTATTACTATTTGAAACCACGAGAGTTCAAATGAAAAATTGATATTTAAAATATAATACTAGAGAGGATGATTAGGTGAAAAATCGAAGATTGTATTTGACAATCAATAGCTTAATGACTTGATATTGCCTTGAGTCAACCTTTTTTATTCATGGACTGACCGGAATTTTTCTTTTCTCCTCTAATGCACAGAATTTTTACCGAAATGTACAAAATATTTGTCTATGTTATAGTAACGCATAAGCTCGTTTATTTATTTATCCCAGAAGTACGTGTAAAGAATTTATCGATAATAACGCAAGTACAAATAATCAATTTGCATATTTTTCATTTGATTTGACACGTGGAAAGTTTACCTTCAAGCATATCAATAAATACGTATCTAACTTTTAAATCGTGATACCTTAAGTATCGTTGTTAAATAATAATTTTGACAATTGGACATTTACATCGATTATTCTGTTATTTTCGTTTATTCAAACAGAAAAGTGTTCGAGTTATAGTAAATTGCTGAATCAAAGATAAAGAAAAGGAGAAGTTATCAATTTAGAATTGAATTTCTTATCATGCAATGATGAATTTAACGAGAAAGTGATTATCAGATTGAGATATATAGTACTTGAAAAATTAAGAACAGAGGATAGTGTCTTCTCTTCTATCTTATAAGAATCATTAGCCAAAGGTATAGAGTAACACCTCCGTGAAAGACTTTGTTTCATTTGAAGATAATGATTGTAATGAGCTTCAATCAACCGAGGGAATAACCTACGACCCTTGTAGCTTTTTTATCTAACAGTAGAATAATGTAAAATAATTTTAATCGTGTTACGTAGCAAATCGAATATTAGCTTTTTATTGCAATAATTTCCATTCGATGGCAAAATTATCATATGTTATTTATTTTAATTATTATTTCATAAAGTTCTGTTATTTTGTTTTTATATTGATTCTGCACATATTGGGAAAAAAATGAAAATGAAACGAAGTATGAAAATTTTAAAATTGATCTTTGCGAGCCACTTATCTAGAAAAAAATGTAAATCTGAAAATTATTCGTGGTTTTTCTGTTCGTCATAAAGTATCTAGACTGTAATCTACTTGTATAAATATCTGTGATGGAAGAAAAGTAGTTATTTTAAATACTAAGCAAATACTAAGTGCTAAATGTTATTAAAAGTCGAACGGACTATAATCTGCGTGATCTGAAAACCATGCATAAATTTCAATTTCGTCGGTGATAAATATCCTGATTGAATAAAAAAGGAATTCATTGATCTGATTAGGTGTTTGAAAATAGATATGCAGATATATTTGTCGATGGTGAAACAGGTCGAAATGAATTAATACTTCGTGGATTAAATTAAAAAAAATGGTTCAATCCTATTTTGCAATGCTATTTTCTCTAATCACATTATTAATTAAATAATTACTGTATTATTAACGACGCTTAGTCCCAAATTCAATCGGGAATCATTATATTAAACTTATGCTTAATATTTCATGAGAATATTTTATCACAAATTGAAGTCTAATCAATACCTAACTTAACTGACGTGTCAATTGGCATCTCTGATCAATAAGCTATTAATTACGAATATTGATGTATACATGCGCATGATAAAAGTCTAAAATTGTATAAAAATATCTGATATTATACATCCAATAATATCATTTCTCTTTATTATTTTGAATCAATTTAAAGTGAAATTGATATTTCATCAATTAACATCATTCCATGTTTTACTTGAAAAAATCTTCAATTTGTTTGTTAATCCAATTTGCATCAGAAATTATTTTCCTCTAAACTTTCTATATTTCAACAATATTTCAACAATAAAATATTCTAATATAGTACCTGGAGCTTCTATCAAGTGAACAACAATTTTGGAAAATTTCTCATAAATTAATATTCAAATAATTTAACAAAACATATCATTACCACTTTTATTTAACAATCTAGTAAAGATATCAAATTCTATATTTGAAAAACTATCACTATCACTAAGAATACGAATATAATAAATTTAAATAAAAAGATCCTTTATTCCATCGAAAGACAATCTATTCCCGAAGTTTATCATCGTTAACTAATGTGCCAATTTTATTTTGAAACTGTAAATACAATGTTACTATAACTCAAAGTGTATAAATTTCGCATAACCAGAATAGAAGAATATTTTCTGCTATAATATGTATAAAAATGATATTTGCAGTGTGTCAATTACTTGCTTTTAGTTAAAATTATTCATCCACAGATATACGACATTTTGTTTCCATTAAAATCCACACGTATTTGCACACTGTAGTTCATGTTTGTTATATCAGCATAGGTGACACATATTTCTGTACATATGTAGTATCTTCATCAGCACACCCATAAACAAATCTAGACGGATGTAGAGCATATGATAATTTAGGCACTGGTAGTTAATTATTGTTGTTATCGATAGATTCCATAGAGCAAGTGTTGAGCAATGATAAAAATGATTGAACATCATTGTTGTAAAATTGAGTAAGAAGAAAAATCAGTCTATTTAAATCAATATAAATGATTATGGTGTATTTAAAAAGAAAAATGTTACATTAGTACGAGAGTGTCTAAGAAACGTTAGCTTAATGTTAGATCTTGAATCACTTATCACTTTTTCGCAATAATAACGTTTACATGAATATTTACATGGGAGGTCGTTAAACACGAAAGTGTATTATTTTCTTTGAAAGAAAGGATGAAAAGCTATAACAGCGGAACGGTCAACGCATATATTTCATAAAATATGGAAAGCCTGAAATCTATGCAACATGCGATTTGCTTTTAATATCTTGAATCGTCGTAACTCGAGAATATTTCATCAGGATGGTACTTCAATTTAGGTCGTTGAATTTATTGCGATTTGCACTGCTAGCTTTCACGGTAATGGAAAAAATCACGTTCCATTTAAAAAATAGCTTCGATGCTTCGTGAAAGGAATATAACGATCAAAGTCGGTTACGTACATCATATGCATTCATTAAAGTTGAATAAAAAGAGAAGAAGCGTTTAAACTGCATTTTTGTTTTCTCCTGCGAAGAGGAACGATAATTATAACATAGAATGGGATGGTTTGTTCTACTTAAAGAAATTAAAACTTTCGGTGATATATGAATTTTTAATTCAATGCTGCGATGAACAGTGGAATAGCAACAAATAGTATTTAGAAATACTTAGAAATAGAACAAAACTTGAATGATATTTTTGTTTTTCTATTTACAGAACATTTATTATAAAAGGTAATGAGTTAATTCAGAAATGTTTTAATTTATTTCCAAATATTGAGTGTCAACATGCAATCAATGAATTATTAAATTTTTTCAAATTTAATTATTAAATTAGAGTAAAAGTTATCTTAAAATGACAACTGGCAATGTTTTATTTAAAATATTTTTATAAAATAATGAAACTCGCTTTAATCTAGAAAACGTCGGGTTTCTTCATATTTGAATTAAAAAAGCAGAAAAATAAATTAAACGAATGTACACTTGGGAATTAACTCAGCTTTCCCTAGGGAAAATAGGGTGTAAGGAAAACAGAAATTCTGAAAATCCTAATTTTGACGATATTATAAATAAATTACAAACGATCATACGTATTATATTAAGAAATTAATTTATATCCAATACGTGTATGCAGTTACGTTTGAAAATATAGATAAAAGAATCTAATTAATAATTATCATTAACGGAGATGTTACAGATTGTGGGTGGATGCATGTGATTATGAACGAAATCGTGTATAATTGTAAATTGATGGTGTGCAATGATGTTCCTTTAACATAGTTAACTTAAGCAGAATAATATCGATCACAAATCATCAGCTGGTTGTGAGTAAATGTTAATTAAGTATCCACCGTTTAATGTGGAGCTATAGATGTACAATTGTCGAGAAATTTTCAATGGGATAATTTACGCTGGTACAAAACGTTACGATAAGTTCATTGATCTCCAGAGCAAATTTCTAAACTAGAAGAAGTAAAGAATCGGCATAATCATAGAGTAATTATGGTGATTTATGTCACTTATCTGTTGTAACTTGCAACTTTTTGTCACGTTAGTATAGTGCCGAATTAAAGGGAGTTTTAAGAGGGTTTTCAACCACCCCCACTTTCCATTGGCCCCATTTTCCAAGAGCTCCATTTTCCAAAAGCCTCATTTTAAGCCTTCCATTTACTCTGAATTAATTTTTATTAAATTTATTTTAGAATACGTTTCGTTCTTTGAACGAAATTTATCAAACAAGGAGGCCCTCGAATGTTTGTAGTTCCGGGCCCCCAAAATTTTAATTCGGTCACCATCTATTATCTAATGGTTTTATAGTAAAAAAAAGGAATATCTGACACTTCTTATCTCGTAAGAAATAAATTTAATTATCGTACCTTACTTTAATAAAACTTCTGAGAACAGCGTGGTCTAAAATTATGATTGAATAACAATTATTAACTGTCGTAAGTTCAGAACCCTTTCTAAAGAATACTAATACCTGTATATAAATTGATTTCAAGCAACAATTGAATCTGCCTTAATCTATTTCTCTACTTCTTCAACGTTCAATGTAGTTATTGCTATTGTGAAAAGTGGCTCGCAGGATTGAGTCAAAGATCATGCAGAATTGAAACTATTTTTCTTAATATGTAACTAATAATTTATTTATCGTGTGCGCCATCTTTGATTCAATCAAGAATATTGATCTTACATATGTTTATAAACAGCTGAGAAAAGCGAATAGTGCGAGGAAATGAATTCTCTTGTTCAAGAATTAATTAATGAAGAAGATGGCCAATGTTTATTCAAATACACATTTGAATATTAAACATTAATCGTTACTGCTGTCTATTGTCTATCAAACATTTTATATCTTCGATCTGTATACATTAAATAGAAAATATTCTTCTGTAATTCGTTCTTGGAATTTCATTGTAATAATCCACTTTTCAGACCCTTCATTAATAATATATTTTTCACCTTCGTTATTTTCTATAATTATTGATATAATTATCAATAAAAGATAGTAATCATAATTGCAACAAAGGTGCATCGTTGCACTTTGAATCCTCTATATTTCTTTTCTATGAGGTTTTAAAATCCAAGGTGTATTCATATTCCATTTTCCAATTCATATTCCAATTTATTATTTCAATAAATTAATCAATTTATACGACACATACAGGAAAAGTGCAATTGCATTTTTCAAATGCATCGATGCACGCCTGCAGAGAATCGTATATCCCAAACTTTATACCTCTATAAAATATGTTAACATCGTTGCTTTGTTAGGAATTCTTTAAGCTGCAACCGAGAAAATGATTCATCGGTGACAGAATAATAAGAAACATCGAGGCAAATGTTATGTCCAAAAACCAAGGAGAAAATATCTTTTCATCGTGGTTACGTTTAAACGAGTCCCAAACAACAATGGGAGCAGATTCTGTGAAAAAAAAGAAAGAAAGACCGTGCCAGGTTATTGCACCTTCAACCCTTTTTTCTTCTTTCGTTCGTGTTCGCCTTTTCTTTCGATCCCCGTTTAACTTGATGGTGGCTCCGCTTTCTGTGGCTTTCATAGTGATTACAACGAACAATCCATTTACGCACGATCTCGCGATATTTTCTTTTAACGGTTTCCGCATTTACCTAGACCGGTTGTAGGCGGGCATCGTTTCACGTCGGCCCAATTCTTCTCTGGTTTTCGTATCATATTCCTTGCTGCTTTAACTGTACCGTACAATCGCGATTATGACACTACCTTCACTGTCTATGCCCCGTCCGTTACAATATTCCTTTCTTTATTCAACATTCTTTCAACAGCTTCTTCATTGTCCAACGTTTTCTTTTCATACTGTTAGCAATGGTGCTGGCAAGACCTTATGACACGAAACGGGAGCTTTATGTATTTTCGGTTACCTTTAGCATGTTTTCAGGCAATATTCATACGGGTCAGTAATTATTCAATTTATTATTTCCTGTTATTCGAGCTCCGAGAGTGAACGAATGTACCATGAAATTGAGATTCTGAAGAATTTCCTTTGTGTCGAATGAGAAATAATAAAATTATGGTATTCAGAATCGTATGAACGATCAGTAATTATGAATTGGCCATGACCATTCTCAATTCATAATTAAGATAGTCTATATTTTTTAATGGGAATGGTGTATCAGTAGAATATACACATATATTAGTATGCTGCATAGAAACTAATTTGCAAATGCAAATGTATTATGTCAAATGGCCAATTTTAAAAAATAGAAAATTTATCCCAAAATTACCCGAGAATAGTACTTATAGAAACATATTTTGTAGCTTGAAGTTTAATAAAAATGTCTACATAAGTGTTTATACAAGTAGTCTGACTTTTGGTTGAGCTATACTACTGGGAGGTACCAATTGTCAGTCCTTTCAATGAAGAATCAGCCATTTTGTATTAAAAATATTAATGAATCGATTATATGGCAATGTTTGCCACACTTTAAGCTTTAAATTGAAGTGTCATAAGTATTATTTGGTGATACTTTTATGTCAAGAAATCCTGTCTCAATGAATTTACTGTTAATACAATAGAAATTGCATCGCACCGATTAAGGGTTAATACTTTTGATTTATATCTTACTCTCCATTTACTTAACTGTGTTAATAAATATGTCCGTAACATGTACGTTAATAAGACCAGGTGTGAATGTAGTAGACGTGAATTATACTTAATGCTGCATTACCACAATGGCTTAATACGAACAAGTAACGACCACTGTAATTATAGTTTTTCCATTATTTTCAGCCCATTATAAGGTGTATCATGGTAACAAAATAAAAATGGTTATACTTTATTTTCAGCCAAGGTATGTGACAAAAATAAATAAATGGTTATAGATTTTAATAAAAATATATTTCTATCGAAACATTTAATTTTATTTAATAACAGGTACATTCTGAAATATACAAGGAATACAGTATTTTATAATTCATTTGATTGCAAAGATGAAGAAATTGAAACTAAAATTTTTATCATTATTATTCTGAGAAAAAGTAAGTTTGAATTACAAAAAGTACAGTACAGAACATTTTCTCTTGATATTCCGAGTTCAGTTATTAAGCTTACATTTATATGATTAAAATGAATGTAGTGTTGAGCAGCAAGTTCCGGACGAAAGTAATAATATTTTATCGTTAACCCAACTTTAGTAAGAAAACGAGAATAAAAGAATACGAAATAACGAGCGATGCCGGAATAATTCAATGCGGGACAATCAAATGGGCTTTAATAATCGTTGGGAAAAGAGTTGAAAAAGTTCATAACTCGTGCTAAATACGAATGTAAAATTACTGTCGAATAATTATGCGACCAATATGAACGTTCGAAATAAGTAATTTCCTTAATTTTAATTTGATATTAAATGAAATATTTGATTAAATCAACAATCATATTTTACTTTCTGCATAATAACATTGTTTCCACAATTTTTATTACAAAATTCATTAAAATGAAACAGTGGAAAGGTTTTAAAAAATGTAGACATTAATGGTGAAAATTATATTATTTTATTCATTTATAATAACATTAAGTGCTGACATTAAAGCTCATTGGCACTTGAAAATTTACACGAAGACAAAGAATGTTTCTCATTAAAAGTTTCGTTGCTTTGAACCGACATAAAGCTAGTACTTCTGTTCATTATGGCACCTTGTTTGTGCAATTCGTTATTCTCGCAAGTACTTTGGGTTCTCAGTTGAGTAATTTCAAAGATGAAAAAGGTTTTTCATGCTGTGCTTAACCATCTTCTTGGTACCTTAGAAAAACTCGTGCATTTCAAGCCATACTAACATTTTTTTATAATTTTTGTCAATGAACAAAGGCGAAGAGCTAATTTCCTTGATTGCACAAAGATTATGAAATAATATGTAATCTATTGTTGAATAAATTTTCATATTATGGCAATTAAGGATAATTGACAATATTTTCCAAGTCCACGTCCATATAGTTCGTGACGAACCATCAGCATTGGATGCTGAAACTAACACTAACCGTTATTTTGCATCCTGATTAGAGGGAATTATAATCGATACCGGCCCTTTGATAATGCATACAATGATCGGTCTGTGAACCAGATTGTAGGATTACAATGGTTTTCGCACATCAAAGAGGATTGGTTGTTCAGCGTTATTAATATCCAAATCTTGGTTGTGGCGGTTCCTATAATAGTATAAGATTTCATTATGTAATGCGAACTAAGCACACCTATTGTCTACCTTACACAACAACCACAAATTATTATTCAAATTAAGGTTCAACCACGTGAA